CCCATGAAATCTGTGCTGCAACATGCCTCAGAAGGAAGGCACTACTAGGGGAAGGAGAACAGCTACAATGGCTCAGTGGCCTCTTTCCTAAGTGGTCTTAAGTAAATTAGAGTAATCCATTGTGTATGCATAATATTTGGATTAAATATTATCTGCCATTTTGTTATCCACTCACTTGCTATTGCAAGGACTTTTGAAACTGCCTCCCTCCTGCAGCTGTAAGCATACAGTGAGACTGTGTTTTGCCAAGCTCTGTTTGGCAAAGAAAACAAGTTTCAAGAGTCAGAAAAGACAAGACTTTCTCAAAATCCTGGTATCATGTATCTTTTCTGTAGTTCTTGCAATAGTTCTTATGAACTTGCCCTGATGGGGAACAAATGCTGCAGGTGACGTTTGTGATAACTGAACTAAGGGTACAAGTACAATCCTTGTTCCCTATGAAGTGTGAGATCCTCATTCTCTGAAAACCAGTGCTTGTTCTACTTCTGATGCCCGTAATCTTTGTTCAAACCACAAAACCTCCATTGTTGCAACTGTTTTAATGGTTGTTTGGCCAACACTAACCAGGACTGCAGGGCATGTGTACAGTGTGCACATGACTGCGCTGTGGAGAACGATGGCAATTTACTTCTGCACTGCTCAGCTGCTCGTCTGTATGAATCAACTTGGCATTAAAAAGCATAACAGTGATCCTACTGTACTGTGCTAATTCTGTGTGTTAGAAGCACCAGTCTACAGAGAGGCAATTATGCATTTATTGGGGCTGTCCATGCATTGGTTATCATATTCAAGCCCTGTATGCTGCAGTCTCACTGGATGTTCATCCTGCCATAAATTAATAAACAGGAATAGATCACAACAGTTTGCTAGTTAATGCCCTAGCAGATGTTGAAAGAAGCAAGTACAGAACAGAACATAAAGTGTTTTGACAAACACCTTCAAATACATCTGCATGAAGGATGAGGAAAGGCTTCTAGCAAGGCAGACCTACCCCAAAGCAAATCGAGTTAGTGTGGTATAATGAATGTGGGCTATATTTCCAGAAATCATAGTGTAGTTGAAGTGCCCTTGGCATAAGTTTTAGTATCTTTTTATCTTTAGTAACAGAGACTGCAGGTGGTGGATTTGGACATGAGGAAACCAAAAAGAGATATAGGTGGTACTATTAACATATGTTAAAGAGAAATGTCAATATTCTTTATCACATGAAATAGTGCTTCTCCATAATAAGATGACAGATCTTGTCTCCTAAAACAGTCATCTAAAGGTGGTGGGCTTTTTTTTCTTTTTGTTACTAGAATAACTCATCATTAAAAAGAAAAAAATTAAATGCTTCAAGTGCAAGAGCCCCCAAATTTAATTTTTTCACTGTGTGATGTAGCTACAACATTAATTAGTAAAATTTAGGTGGACTGAAAAGGCGTTTTGCTGAAGACAACATAGTGCACATAGTCCACATAGTGCATCCATAAAATAGATAACTGAGTAGGCAGCATCTTTCTCTGTAATTCTTGTAACCAGCTATGGGTTTTCACTTGAAATGTAGGTTTTCATAATGAAATTATACTACATACTTGCTTTTATTTCTCTGACCATGTGTGTCTCAAAACTGAGCTAATTTGATTTCTTTCTTGCTGAAAATATATTTATTCCAACTGAGCCAGAATCCAGCCTGCGTTCTAGACCCCAGAGGAATTGTTTGTTCTAAGAATCAGCTACGTGGGATGTGCAGTGAGTCCAGACTCAGGCCTTTGAACAAACTGTTCAGCTGAAAGGGGGAGGGTAACTTCCCTGTATTACAGAGTGTCGATTTTCATTTCTCTTTAAATAATATCTCAATTCAAATGGTACATTGTTCTCAGGTGAGTTGTTGGTATGTTCAGTTTTAGCTATAAGGTCACGTTATGGTTGGATCCTTAACAGAAGCTGTGAGAAGTGTAATCTACCTCTCAGAAGAGCACTACTGTAATTACTCTGTCCTAACAAGCATGATAATGCAAAGATGAACTGACAGCATATGTTTTAATAACATGTAGCCTTTGCACAACATTTAATCTCCAATATTTTGCAAAGACTAAGTAAATGTCACCTATCTGGAAATGTGTAGCTACACTTTTTTACTTTCATTTTGTATAGCATTATACTGATTGTTAACTAGTCTGAATTTCTCTTGGTTTCCAGAATAAGCCAAGGGCTTTTCTAGAACTGTGCCTTTAAATGATTTAGCAGCTTTCATATACACACAGCTAGTATATACAAAAAGACATAGTCCCTTCCCCTTTGAGTTTTAAATCCAAGGTCCTCATCCAGCAACATTTCTCTGAGTATTATATTTTTATACGTGTGAGAGGTTCACATTAAACTTCCACTGGGAAATATTTACAGAGAGACCACACCTGCTGAGCTTCAGCCTTCTGGCAAGTGCACTACAGAGGCCAAATGGGAATTCATGGAGAAGAAAGGTTGCCTGCATTTAAAAAGGGTGGGAACCCTCCAAGCTCTGAAGCTCTGTGCAAGTTTGTATTTGGATAACCCGATAGCTATGCATATAAATCGTCCGGGAAAACTAATGTGCATGTGCAGTATATCAAACATCTTGAGGTCTCAGCCATGACTTTCATATGCACCAAAGTGCACATTCGTTACTGAAGGTTGTATGCAACGAGACAGAATTTAAAAAGATACATTTTTGGAATGTATCTGAATGCAGAGACCACTGACTCACTTTCTTTAGTAACTGAGAAGCAATTTTTGTGTTCTGTCAAGGATTTCTAGGTGGATTTGCACTGAGACAGCGCAAACTAAAATTTAACATTGAAATTTGGAAGAAATGAAATGGAAGTGCTACTTCAGCCACGGCCTCAATTTCTAATCTTTTTCCCTGGCCACAATTTTTTTTTTTTCATGGAACCTACTGTAATGTATTTTTAAGAAGCTATGTCATGTTATATAGGTGGAAAACACTATGAATGAAGTATATATCCTTTGTCTTGTTTGTCAATTCCATGCTACAACTTTAAATTTAACATTACTTCTTTCTAATTTTTTCTGATTACAGACATTAATGTCTTTATACTGGCTTTGGCATGGTATGTAGTATTTATGTCCTAAAGTTGTTCCAGTTGTCTTAGTAAGACTGAATGCTCTACAGCTCTTGCCAGCCTTGCACTGGCAATACAGATTCCTGAATACCATAGGTTTAATTCAAGGTATAATTAAAAGACTGCATGAAAACTTTAAATCTGCTTTTATATTCAGCTTTTTTTTTTTTCCCCCTCTTAACTGAATCACATACTGTAACAGCCTGCTCATTTCTAAAGAGCAGTGATCCCATCTCCTGCAGAGGCTGCTCCACTAAGAACTCACTCCTGAAAGGTGCTGATTGCTCTGGCCCTCGTTCACTGAAGTCCTTAGATACTTAACTTCTGGACTAAGATCAGTGTCTAATACTTTTCAGGATATATAATTTTGCTCTAAAAAGGATCATTCATTCTTTGCTCCTGTTAGAGGATGGGTCCTAAATAAAGGAAATAATCTAGCCTTTGGTTGTCTGCTAGGACAGAGGCTATTACGCTGGAGTGGAGTACCCTAAAGTCAGCTCAGCTTACAGTATCCCGTCTGCTCTGCTCTACAATGGTGTCAAGATTATGATAAGATGTATATTTCTGTGTTAAAGTTAAATTAATAACAAAAATAAATTAATAGCAAAAAAAATCAAGAAGTTTTAACTTTACTATTATTTCATCAGGCAATAATGAACTGGGAATTTGACCAGTATACTAAAAACATAGCCAATAAAACCTACATTATTTTATAATTAAGCATATAGATGTATGTGAAAAACAGTGAAATAACTGATTCATGTATGTGATTACTAATGTACCAATAAAACTGAAACCTGTTCTTGGAAGATAGTACAACTCTGAGTTAGGACTCAGTAACTTAATGGGTGTACTGAGAGAAGAACAGAAAACTATTTCAAATATAATGGGGCACGTTCTTCAGAAAAGGAAAAATTTTTGATTATTTACACTAATATATAAGGGCCCCCCTTAGATAGGCTTGCCTCACTTCAGCCAGCTGAAGTAAAGGTCTAAAGCTGAACCATTTCAGGCAAGTTGCAAAGAGGAAGAGGGGTCTCTTACCTATGTTACTTACTTACTCTTACCTTCTCTGAAGTCAGGATCTCAAAGTGTTTTCTTAAGGACAACCATAAAACTGTGGCTTTCACTACAGCACCCATTGCATTGCTGTTGCTCTCAGGAGAACAAATTTCAGGCATTGGAACGGCCTACCCAGAGAGGTGGTGGATTCACCATCCCTGGAGGTTTTTAAAAAGAAATTGGATGTGGCCCTTAGTGCCATGCTATAGTAATTGGAGTTGGATCAGGGGTTGGACTTGATGATCTTGGAGGTCTTTTCCAACCCAATCTATTCTATGATTCTATGATTCTATTCTCCACAGCCACATCATCTTTTAAATTGCTGTGAAAAGATAAACCTTTCTCATGCCTCAAGAGAGGGATTGAACTTTACATCCTGTTGGTAACATATAGAAGTGATCTATTTCTGTAAGTACACACTTATTTAATACACATACACTTAAATAAGAAGGATCATAAAGATGTGTAGTAGATCCACTGACTGTAGTCCCTAAAGCCATGGTTTGATGTGCAGTGGTGCCACCCCAAGTCACTCGCTTCTGTAGCTGTAGCTGTTTGTGGAATGTTTTAAAGATATGTTTCTGAAGTTTGTAAAGTAGTTGCACGAGAAAAGCCAGACCAGCAAGAAGGGCTGGAATGAAAAGGAATATCACTCAAAAAGGACGGAAGATATTAAGGCATAACATACTATGTTATGTATATTGTTTTGTTTCTTAGGAATGGACTTGCATGTATTTGCAACTGCTATTTACTTACTATTCTGCAGTGAGGGCACTTGTCCCTTAACTAATTTCACTCCTGAGTTTCAGCTTTTCTGTTATACCTTATATTTCCCAGGTGCTGGAGAAGTGATACCCCTGCAGCCCATTGTGAAGATCATGGTGAGGCTGTCCCCCTGCAGCCCACAGAGGTCCACAGTGGAGCAAATATCCACCATGAAGCAGATATCCCATAGAGGAACTCATGACAGAGCAGGGGAATGCCTAAAGGAGGCTGTGACCCCTTGGGAAGCCCATGCTGGAACATGCTCCTAGCAGGACCTGTGGCCTCATGGAGAGAGGAACCCCTGTTGGAGCAGGTTTGCTGACCCTGTAGGGGACCCATGCTTGGGAAATCTGTTCCTGAAGGGCTGAACCCCCTGGAAGGCATCACACTGGAGCAGTTTGTGAAGAACTGCAGCCTGTGGGAAGGAGCTATATTGGAGAAGTTCATGAAGGACTGTCTCCTGTGGAGAGACTCCATGCTGGGCAGGAGAAGAGTGTGAGGAGTCCTCCCCCTGAGGAGGAAGGACTGGTAGAAGCATGTGATGCACTGACCCCATTGCCCATCCCCCTGCACTGCTGGAGGTGAGGAGGTAGAGAATTAAGGAGTGAAGGTGAGCCTGGGAAGATGGAGAAGTGGAAGAAGGGTGGTTTTTAGATTTGTTTCTATTTTTCATTATACTCCTCTGATTCGATTGGCAATGAATTAAATTCGTTTCCCTAGGCAGAGTCTATTTTTCCCATGACCAGTAATTGCTGAGTGATCTCCCTTGTCCTTATCTTGACCCAGGAACCTTTAATTTTATTTTCTCTCCTCTGCCCAGGTGAGGAGGGGAGTGATAAAAAAGACTTCTGTGAGCACCTGGTGTCCAGCCAGGTTCAACTCACCTCGGTCAGTAAGAAGATATTTGGTAAGCGCAGTCTTTGGGCATGTGACAAGATAGCATTTGTAATGTTATCAGAATAATCTGTAGTGATTTAAAATCCTATTGTAGTTTCTGTATCACTAGTTTCATTATTTGATTAAAGTCCAGCAGAGCATTAAGGATTACATTTTACTGAGCATGAATGATTTACAATTAGTTAGAAAAAATAAAGGTATTAAGGAATGTGCCAGGTTAATTTATTTGACAAATGAGTGTAAAGCTACTTACACAAACATTTCAAAAGAGAGAAGCACCTGGTTCATAATGTATTTTGTAGAAGTAATGAAAAAAGTAATTATTGAGAACTGTAAAAACACTGCCAGGAGGTATAGCTAAGATCTAGCTCACTAGGAATGCAGGGGCTGACTTCCACTGCACCTCATAGTTGTACTGGGTCCCTCCCCCGACTAACCCACTGGGTGACAGTCAGTAAGCTGAGGAATCCTCAGGTAGGGAAGACATAAGCAATACTTGGCAGTTAGGGCATGGTTTGGTATCCAGTCTGGGGTTTGTATAAGGGGATAATTGTAATTCTTTTGTATTACAGTATCTGATAAGGCCAAGCTTTTAGTATTTTCCAGTTTAATGTCAATAATACTACAGTAATGTTGATATCTAGCTTTTTAAAACACTAGCCATTTTTAATTTGTTTATGTCGGTGACGCTTGTTATTTTACAGCAGTATAGGAAACACCTCGTGGTGAGAAACACCTAGTGGTGACTGATTTAAGCCACTTGCTGTCTGTTTTTACTTGATCGTGATGTTGCTTTGTCAACAGGATCAGCAGCATAACGTGCAGCGTTACAAACGTAAAGAAATAAACTTTTCTAAAAAGTCCAACTGTGCAGATTCATCTCTGTGGGCATTGTTGGGTTAGGTTGTCACATTGGAGTATTATAAAGCATTTATATGTTCCATATCTATCATTTCATAAAGATTTCATATCTTTTTCTTCTAGATCAGCTGTTTTCCAGAGTGAGTTTTCCGTTTTCTCATATTGAACCTGTGTGATACTTTGCTTTTTCTTTGTTGCCATTCCCTTGACTTATTACATAATTTCTGAGTTGAATGAAGAGAACTGCACATTGTATTCAAGATGTGGAGACATCCTAAATTTATTTTATGGTGGCATAGTAATGTTTTCCTTTTTTTTTTTTTTTTCTCTATTCTTTCCTAATAATTCCTAACTTTTTGTCTGCTTTGACAGCTGTTCAACACTGAGGTGGTATTTTCATAGAACTATCCATTTATACAGCATGATTTCAGACTGTAATGGTAATCATTACTCTGGGTGCACTGCTGTATATGTTAAGATGAAATTGTTTCTTCCCATACATATCACTTTATGGTAATCTCTACCAGATTTTATCTGCCATTTTATTGCATGGACACTCAGTGAGTATCAATCACATCACACTTGCTGTATATTTTTGCAGCTCTTCATAATGGCCATTATTTTTAATTTACCTCAGCAACTAACTTAATACATCTGCAAGCATTGTCCATGGTACCTACTTTGTTCTTGAAGGCTTTCTTGGATTTAGCTTATGTTGTGAGAGTTTGAAAGAAAAGGGTGCACTGAGAGAGAAAATCTTCAAGAAACTCACGCTCATGGGAGGAAAATGTTCCCCGTTCTTCCTCTTCCACACCGGGCTCTGGCTCCTTTTAGAAACAGAAGATCCCGTAGGGCTCAAAGGGGGATGCTTAGGTACTAGTGGTAACCTTTCCTGATTCTTCTCTACGTAATTGGATGTCTTCTCAGTCAGATGACATCAGCCTTCATATATCATCAGCCTTCATATATCATCTCCATGAAATAAATGGCCAGGAAAATTTATTACCTACCTTCTGAAAAATTCCCTGAGAAAACAAACCATTTTCCCAGATGCCTAGACTTGTGAATGCAGAATGCCATATTCAGAGTAGATAAGCAAAAAGATAAAGGCAAAGGTAATATATTAAAACTTGCTTTTAGTAAATTAAATGGGAATTTGGCTGTTTCCTTTAATGAATGACCAAATGCAGTGGTTAATATTGGGAATGACAACCTCTCCCAAGCAGGCACAAAGATGCTGAAGTGTTCTCTTTCTTGTCCAGCATGCAGGTTCCCTGACTCCTTGCTTACTCTCTGCACCAGCCTTCTCAGCCCTTTTCCCTTCTAGCATAGAATTGATGTTGGACCTTGTACAAAAAGCTAACTTCTCACACGTCTTCTTTCCTTAACCATCAACTCCTGCAGCCTCTAACCCAAAAACCTATGAAAAAGATTTCTAGTACTAGAAATTCGCTTTATCCTGGGGATGGGAGCCAAGGGGGAATTTCCTATCCCTTCATCTCAAGAAGGCATGGGTTCTCATTTACTAATCTTGTCCATGTTCTCAGGCACATATTCCCAGTTTTCTCTGACTCCCTTCTGCCAAGCCCACTACATTCAGTATCTAATTTCACTAGTCACAGTTTTCTTTGGCATAACTGTAAAGGGTTTTAATTTGCTGATATCATTTGTCTAGTTGATTATTGTATTTTTTTTTTAATATGATTGATAACTCTGCCAGAATTGCTTTAGTTATAAAAAGAATTGTGGATAGTTCTTTAAAATGAAAAATGTTCAAATACATTATGGTACTCTGCTTTTGCCCTTAATTATTAAAGTATTTTATATACTTTCAAGTAATTTATTATTATGTGAGAAGGAGTTTGATAGCCAAATACAAAAATATGAAGGTTTCCAAACTCAGATCATAAACCATGCTTTTCACTTCAAATGTGAAATTACAAGTCTGAGTTTGACAGAAAACACCCACACAGACAGCTCTACGAACAGTTACTGTGTAAGGCACTTACATGATTAAATCAGCTCATGAAATTCCTTGAACTTACTTTTGTGTCTTGTTTTCAGCTACAATGTATGTGTTATAGCACAAAGATCTGACAGTTATGAGGCAAGTCTTAGTGAACTGTCAAAAAGAAGAGCCCTTTCCCATGGGCAGAATCTGAAGTAGGATGTCTCGCAGATTTCTTTATTATGCCATTAATTTATGTAAGAACAGATCAAACATGAATGACATTTATGTGGATTTTTTGCATTCTCCAAAATCATAAAGTGAGAGGATAGGCCTATAAACTACAGATTGCTGCTTACTTTTCTTTCTGTTAGCAGCTGAATGTTATGGCAATTCTGAAGTTTACATAGACATTTCACAGTTCACAGCGTAGCATCTGCAAAAGCAAGATCATGTACAGTCTTACTTTTGTTTTCCTTTTGTGCATAGGATTATCTTGTATTGGAATTCCAGAACAGTGGAAAACAAGGAAGCAGAAGAAATACAAAAGTATCATGAAAAATATTAGATAAAAAGAGGGAATGAAAGAAAAAAAGAAAAGAAAGGAGGAAGGAAGGGAGGGGAGAAAGGAAGAGAAGGAAAAAAAGGAGGAAGGGGGGGAGGCAGGAAGGAAAAAGAAAAGAAGGAAGGAGAAAGAGAAGGAGAAAAAGAAAGAAAGAAAGAAAGAAAGAAAGAAAGAAAGAAAGAAAGAAAGAAAGAAAGAAAGAAAGAAAGAAAGAAAGAAAGAAAGAAAGAAAGAAAGAAAGAAAGAAAGAAAGAAAGAAAGAAAGAAAGAAAGAAAGAAAGAAAGAAAGAAAGAAAGA